ATCCCTAACATTCTGTGATTCTGTGATTGTTCATTACTGAAGTGTCCTTGAAATAGGGATATAAGATCCAATGCTTAAAACAGGTATTCCTTTTTAAATCTACCTCTTAAAAAAAATCAAAATCAGTGAAAGTGTGTAATGCTCTGTATTCCCAGTGGCCAAATTCCACCTGAGGGAAAAAAACTCCATTGAATTCTTACAACAAAGCAGTGGTTTCTGAGTAAGTCGAAGAAGAACAGAACTCGGAGAAAAGTTTTACTAACTTCAGGTCATAGTTAAGAGCACTACCCATCCCTCTCCTTTCTCCTGGTATCCTCTGCATACTCTAGTATCTACTGAAAATACTGGTTACGAGACATGTTGCTGGACCCAGGGAGAGAAAATTTTAGGCATTTACAATATGCTGCTGAATGCCTGTCTATAGGTGAGATGCCAGTGGTGACATGGTGAGCCAGTTTGTCCTCTGTGACTAACATAACAGCACAGTCTCCAGCCAAAAGAAGGCTGAAGGAATTCCACCCCCTGCCCCACCCTGTTGTGTTTAGTGTGTATTCTGGTCTTGGTATCTTAATTTTTAAGTTCTGTGTAATACAATATCTTGGGTGTAACAAAAAATTTTACCTTAATGCAAAGAGTTCTCCAATTTTCTGCATTACATCTGCATGAGACAGTTTTACCTTCCTTCGTGACTTTAGTATCTGCAAAGTAACAAATTTTTCACTGCTTCATCAAGTAGAATGGAGTAGAAGTCAAGAAGCCTGGAGTTCTAAGTATGTATATGAGTTAAATCCGAATACATACCATACCTATTAACATTTGAGTTTTGCTTAGTGCCTTGCTTATCTAGCTTTATAAGCATATCACCATGCAACTGTTCACCCAGGCTTTTCAGTAAATCACTGAGTATGCTGTCAGTATCAATACAAAATCCTGGAGCATTTTCTATGAATGATTTCCTGAACAAGATATCATTTGCTTTTTCTTCCTACTATTGTTATTTTTAAGCCACGACAGTGATTTTACCTTGCCAGTACTTAGCCTTTATAAAGGCTTCTTCCTTACAACAATGTATTACCATTTATTTCCTTAATAAACAAATAAAATAATATTTTATCTTTTGAACCCTACGAATCTCATTTTTACATGCAACTTTATATGGACTTTGTACTTTAATTAAAAATGAAAAACTGTGGTTGAAGTAATTAACTCAAACTCTTCATTAAGTTAAAGCACATTACTTTCAGCTCAAGTTGCCACAAACTGTTTGGCCAGGTTTTTAAATGCTGCTTGTTCTGTTATGCATACGCATTCAACAGTGGCAGGTGACAGTGGCACAATGTGGGAAACATTATCATTCCAATGCAGAACCCCACTCCCAACCCTTTAAAAACTGGTAACTTTTTGTCCCACCACTTTGCAGGGGTTCTGAGCTTCTCTATGTTGTTGGCTTTACTATTAAATGTGCTAAGCATTCAATTTCTTTTTCCATATCCTCAGCTGTGTCTGAACTGATGATTTACAAAGTACAGGAGAAGATGGGAAAGGTACAAACAAGACCTCACCTCAGGAATTGACTGGATAGATTCCACAAAATTATCCAATAATGATTCCCAAATAGCCAGCTTCACTGCAACACAGAGGTGACAAAGCATAACACTGTCAGAAGTATACATGCTTTCCAGTGGTCCCACCTTTAGATCTGCCAACATGCTGCTTCCAGACACATTGATACAAGCGCTATTTGCAGCAAGTTACCATTAGTATTATACAATCAATGTTCATACATCTACGGACAAATCTGGGTTGGGCACTGGCACAGCTCTGCATGCAGAACCACTCTTGAGCTCAGCTCTGTTCTTCCCAGTGGTCAGTTCAGATCCTGGAGAATCTCTGCTTCAGCTCAAAAGTTGGGTGTTTAAGCGCTCTACCATCTGTGCAAAGCCTTAGCAAACTACATTCAAAGGAGGCTGGAGATAATGAGCCATGCTGGAGTCAGGCTGACTTCATGTGGTGCCACTCAAGAGTCTCCACTGCATTTCTAGTGTCCTGCAGAGCTCTCATTTTCCTATCATCCAGTATTTGATGCAGCATGCTCAAACCATGGAGAGTTACCTTGCCTAGACACACCACCTGTACTTGTTGAAGCTAAATTCAAACTTAAGCGATCTTCCCATTTTATTTTTAGGTGAATATACTGTTCGGTCAAGATAAAACAACTCTTCTATGAAAGCTGCTCAGCACCAGCAGTGCCAACACAAATTCTACTATGCCTCAGCTTGAGCCTGGAAAGATGTTTCTGCAGGAAGATGATATGACATGGGCCTTTGCTCTGTAGTCTGCAGATTCCCAGGAAAGAATCAAGTAGTAACAGATCAAGAATTAATACTATTCACTCAGAAAAATTAATCAGGGAAGATTTGTCAAAATGGTAGTCACTGATCGTATTATCTGATCAGGACACTGATAGTAAATCCCATGCCCAGCACTTTTCCACGCTCATCTTTTGAATGTAGAGGCCTAATCCAGGACAGTGACTTAAGTGACATTTGATTTAGCTCCCAAAAAAAGCCAACAGGCATTTCAGGTATCACCAATTTGACAGAGGTTGTTTTTTGCTGTGTCATAAATTTGACTTGGACTAGGCTCCCATCCTTTATTTTTATTGAACATTACTGAACTGTTTTCCTTTATGATGTGCATGTCTCAAACTAACAAATTTGTACCAGTTATCTCCCATGAATAAATCCCTTTCTCCATTATATGTGGCACCATTCTTCCATGCAGCAGCTTTATGAATAGGAAAACTATAGAGAACTAAAGGCTTTATTCCTCAATAGCTCTTCCTTTGACAGCCAAGAACAATTTAGTTATGCTGTACTCCTTGATCAAATGCATATCCCTTCAAAAACAGGTATTCTGTTTCTTGATGTCTCTTCTATTCTGTTTAAAGGTGCACTTCCCCAAATACTACGGGAATCCTGTAAATTTACCTTAAAAGCAGTAGGGCTAGACAGACCAGATTTCATTTAAAGGTCTTTTCAAGGACAACCTTACTGCTGCTCAGTTCTACTCCCGCTTCCCACCTCAGCTGAGGTCTGAAGCAGCAGAGAGGTGCGTTTCCTCAAACTGCAGCATCACTGCTGAGCCCGACTTCGTCCCAGCATCTCCCGCTGCCTCCTGACAGAAGTACCACCTATGGCACACAGCCACAGCTAATAGTAAGTCTCGAAAACATTATCTGCAACTCTGGTCCACATCTTTCATGCTGGTCCAGCTCCCCAGCTGGGAATCACTTCTTTAGCTGGCACCTAGCTTTTCCTATTAGAGGAAACTATGTCAGAATGAATTACCTAAGATTACTGACAGGTTTCTAATACTGGACTCTACACTCGTTGCTATTCTAGAATAGTTCTCTAGGGTGGGGAACAGGATGCTCAGTAGAATGTGTATCTTTTGCAAAGTACATTTCTTAATGTACTTTGCTCATCTTTAAGACAATTTACATTGAATGAGGCAATTCCAATTTACAGAAAGCAAGGTAAAAAGCTTTGAAAAGAAATTCTCCCGCTGAAGCGCAATCTTTACAGTTAGCCTAAGCCAAACACCGAGTCTTCTCCAACCTGTAGCTGTTCAAGTCCCACTTATCATGACATGTCACAAAATCTGTAGCATGGGCTATCACAAACAGTATTAACTTACCAGAAAGACAAAGGGCATTTGAAAAGGCAAATTTCTGCAGAACAACTTCATCACTATCCAGCTCAGAATTTAACACGATTTCTCCTTTGTGAAGCTTTGACTGACCTCTGTGAAAACAGGATTGACACATCTTCACTGATTAAGCCACTAGCAAAGGCACATTTAAAGAACAATCAAAAACGAATAAAGCTTGTTTATTTATATAAAGCATGCCATATCTATATGGGTGTCATTGCTGTCCATTGTCAACCTGACAATAACCAAAACAAATCACTGAAAATTAGTTCCTCAGTCTAAGACTAATATTAATGACCAAATTTTCTAGCTTTAAACAAAAATGCAAGTTATGATTGTTAACTACAGCGTTACTCTATACGCACAGATAATTCAGAGTAAGCAGGATGCTGGCCTCCCTCCTGCTCTCTCTCTCTCCTGTATTACCTTTCTCTGTTTTTTTTCCTCTTCTGTCACTTTTACCAACACCACTCCCTGCCTGCTATGATGTTACTTTCTGTGAAATCTCTATTGCATAGGGGCTAGCAGCAAAGGAAAGGTGGCACGACAGTCACTCAATTTATCATGTCAATCGCACTACAGAACTTGCATGAACACAATGCAATATGTCAGGAATAACAAGTTACAGAACTGGACAGTACCTGCAGTTTTCAAATAGCCAGGAAAAAAACAAAACCAAAACCAACAAACCAACCAAAACCAGCTGTCCTCTTATCAGGTTACCTTAAGTAAACTCAACCTCATTAGCTCAGCTCCTTGTGTTAGTGTCCTGTCTAGGAATTGTTTTTTGGTGCTGTAGGAAAACTATATGTAATTTTTTTTGATCATTTACATTGAGAAATATTTCTGTAGATCATCTGCTTCCCATGATAAAAAACCATTATTTAACAAGGCAAGACAACTTGCCAAGCTTATCATTCCACAGTATTCAAGTTATAACTTTCCTAGGAAGTAAAGTATGTGCAGAATCACATCTTTATATGTGAACCTGGAGGGCACTAAGGAAAGCTAATGCAGAAAATCCTCTTTAAAATGAGATTTGTCTCAATAATGCCTATTTATTTGTTAATATATGCTACATAGTTTCAGTCTGGGATTGCTGAAAAACATGTTCAGTTGCATGGATGTGGAGCTTCATAATTTACCAAATCTAGTGCATAACTAAGTCACAAAGGCCATTACTTGCAAGTTCAGCAGTTCAGTAAAATTTGTCAATTTAATTTACTGTTTTCTCCTTATTTTATTCATTTTAAAAAAGAGTGAGGAAAAGTGTATTTTTATTAGCTGCTTTTGCTTGAATTTGTTTTAGACGTCCAATAGCTTTCATATCAAGAGTTCCTGAAGATACTTACTCTCCTATTCTATAGTTCATCTCTTCATTCTCCCAATGGACTAGTGCAACTTCATATGGCTGAATTTCATGCTGTTCTAGCACTCGCATGATATTCTTCATCTAGGAAAAAGACCAGTGCACAGACAGAACGGTTACCATACAGTATACTTTAACTTTACAGAGATCTAGAATGCAACTTCCATGCTGAAGTAATTTAAATAACAATGAAGAGGTGTGCTAAGGAATGAAGTGATAATTAACAGTTTACTTCTGAAGCTGTCTGGAGCTGTGTGGAAGAGTTTGTGGCTATGAACAACTGCTAGGCATTTGTGAAGACTAAAATGTCATTTAATGTCTGCATATGTAAAACAAGGTAAGGATTAACCACAGCAGCAGGAAAGACAATGTGGATGTATTCAGTATTATAACAATGAGCTGTGTAAGATATTGGCAGATGTCTGATTGTGGGAAATGAATCTTTAGGATAAGTACATCAGGTGGCTGTTCCTGCCAAAATTACTAGTTTGCTGCTAAAATCAGTACTTATGTTTCAGCTACCAGAGGTTGTGTTATATTGCAGAAATCCTTTACCACTATGGAAATCTCTAAAAATAGTTTCAGCTGCCCACATTCAACCCTGAACAGTTAGATCTGCAATTTTACTTGCAGAAGTAATCTAATTGTCATTTTATGATGATTTATTTTATTGTAAAACACAGCAACATTTTTCACTAAAAAAAAACCCCCAACTCTACAACTGCAACTGCTCATTTTATAATACTGAATTTAATACTGGCATGACAAGTACCTACCATATATTCCAAGAACTGTGGTAAAAAAGGGTATGAAAAATTATTTAATTTTTTAAGCAAGGAAGCATCTGCTGTTAGACCATTCAGCTTGCCCAACCAGCTATGCTGCA